GGAGGGAGGGCGGGGTGTTTAATTTCTATTTTGCAAATTTTTTGTTCAGCTTCAGGAACAGATATTTCTCTTTCACTGTGTATTCTTTGCAAATGTTGGGATATCCATTAGGAAAGTAAAATGACAGTTCTTTGATGCACACTTGAGGAGCCCCTATGCAGTGTGGATAATTAATTTTTATAATTAACTCCTGCAGAACTGTAGGCCACTCCATCTCCATCTTCACTGCTGCCTAAGCCCCCGAGTAACACTGGTCCTGGATACACTTACCCATGCTGCAGTCACACTTCTGACCGCTGGCAAGACTGCCGTTAACTCTCAGAAAAGAAACAAAAGACCTAAAAACCTTGAGAGCTGTGGATGTAGAGCTGTTCTCATCCGCTCACTGTGGTGTTAGCGATGGTGGAAATTTAAATGCGAACCCACTTTCCGGACTGTTTAAGCTAATACACCTATTTTGGCGGGGCGGTAGGTAAAAACGAGTATGCAAGTGCTGCAGTAGAGATGACCAGCAGTACTTTACAAAATTGTAGTAACTTCATTCCTTGCAAACACGTGCCCACCTCGAACATACGCACACATCTGTTATTCTCACTGATATTGTCTGCCAAACCCGCAGTCTCTCGGCAAAGTACTTTTCCTGATTTTTTATCTTTCCATGCACTGTTGCAGATCTTCAGAAATCATCCAGCTATGTCCTGGTTTTGGCTGGGGTAGAGTTAATTGTCTTCCTAGTAGCTGGTACAGTGCTATGTTTTGGGTTCAGTATGAGAAGAATGTTGGTAACACACTGATGTTTTCAGTTGTTGCTAAGTAGTGTTTAGTCTAAAGTCAAGGATTTTTCAGCTTCTCATGCCCAGCCAGTGAGAAAGCTGGAGGGGCACAAGAAGCTGGGAGGGGACACAGCCAGGGCAGCTGACCCAAACTGGCCAAAGGGGTATTCCATACCGTGTGATGTCATGGCCAGTATATAAACTGGGGGGAGTGGGGGTGGGAGGAATTGCTGCTGGGGAACTAACTGGGCATCAGTCAGCGAGTGGTGAGCAACTGCATTGTGCATCGCTTGCATATTCCAGTCCTTCTATTATTACTGTTGTCATTTTAATATTGTTGTTATTATTATCATTATTAGTTTCTTCATTTCTGTTCTGTTAAACTGTTCTTATCTCAACCCACGAGTTTTACTTTTTTCCCCCCAATTCTCTCTCCCATCCCACTGAGGGAGGGGGGAGTGAGTGAGCGGCTGTGTGGTTAAACCACAACAAGCTATTTTTCTGTAGCTTGGCACATACTTTCTGTGATGATTCCCCTTTCTTTAATCCCCAGATTTCCTTGATGTTGTGAAGATTTGGAGGCATTTATGCTCATTGGCCATTTTGTGCAGGTATAGTTAAAAATTTAAGAGCAGTTATGAACTTTTGAAAGGCGATGCTACAAATTGCCCCTTTTTTGAATGGAAGATGATCATTGTGATAAGTGATTATTAAATCTGATAACTTTGTAAATTGTTACATGTTTTCTGCTTCCTTAGCAAAATCATGAAGACACCTTTCTAATTCTTTTTGTATTTCCTTCTGTTACAGTTTCTACTTTGTTCTCAAATCTTGATTATTTGGCTTCCTTTCCGCCCACTGACTTATTTTATTTCAAAAATTCCAGAAGTGTTTTAATTGTTCAGGGTAATGCATGCTTTATGTTATGCACAAAGGATAACATATACAGGAAAAATATGACGTATGAATACTTTTTAGTCTGTCTGCTCTTGGTTTTCCAATTTTTTTCAGTTTGTATGACGTTTCATACTGCTCTGATAGGCAAATGTTACTTAATACTGTGGGCTGTCATTCAGAAAGCAAAGGAAATTCAGACAATGACGTTGCATTATACCAATAATAGAGGGATTTAAACACTAAAATAGGAGCAAACAGCAAATGAGAAAGAAAGGTAAAGAAGGAATTTGAGAAAGAAAGAAATACAAAGTGTAGTTTGTACAATTTTATAAATATCTAACTTGGCTGTTTGAGGGACAAAATCCTCCCCAAAATACACACGCATTACATGGAAGTCACCTCACGTCAATTTACAGGGAATTAACATCAAATCAAACGGAGCACAATAGGAGCAGAGCAAGATGGATTCAGCCATTGAAACCACATGAGAGTTCAGGCAGGTTTTCAAAATGAAAATAGAAAGTGTCACAAAGGAAAAGAAGTCCCCTCAAGACAATATTAGAAAATTAAACAGTAGATGTTCACTATTTGCAAAAAAAAGGTAACAACTGACAACCAATGCAAGCCTTAGAACTACACAAATACTAGAAGCAATCTATCCAGGCTTTGGATCTATCTTTTGGCAAAACCTGACAGAAATAAAGAATTATGCAGCTCTCTCAGCTCTGCATTGTTAGATTTTCATGGACCGCAAAACCAAGAACACAAATACAAGTAACAGCATTTTAGTAACATTTTAAATATACTTTTACTATTGCATTTTCTTCTCTACAGGGAACTTTACAATTATACAAATTATAAAGGACAAGAATCTCCCCAACAGCTAGCAAAGACACAGTCATAGAACCATTAGCTTGTTCCTTTTCAGTTCTTATTTGAGTGGTGTTGCTAGGACAATGAACTGTTTCAATAACATACTACTGGTATCTGAAAAAGAAGAGAGAAAAAAGGATTACTAGTGTAAAATCATGCAGTAGAAACAATTCCTTCTTTCGAAAAAGAATATTTAACTCACTAAAAGTGAGGGACAAAAAAAAGAGTAGTTTCTATTTTTTTCTGCAGCTGTCACATATCATCTGATTTTTTCCATATAAAAAGTGATCTATTTAATATTTATCTGCCTCAGAGGATGCTTATGAAGCTTAATTCACCGTTTGTGAAATGTTTTGGGACTCTTAGTTTTACAGGGCTATCGCATTATAAATTAATTATTTTTGTGACTATATTATCTAATAGTTTTGCTGAGCAAACAGATTTTGCTTGTTGAGCTTGAAATGTTTCACCTGCAACATGTCAGGTTTGACATGCTTTCACTCAACTCGAGATTTTTGTGGACTAGCTGATGGTCGGAAGCTGTCGGGTCTGTGGCTGACAGGACGTGGCTGTGGGTTTGGGTTCCAGAGATTCCAGCAGCGACAACGCTTGGCGATGCAGCCAAGTGTCTGAGACAGTGGGCTTTTTCACACAGACCTGGGAGCTGGGTCGCACAAGACCTCAGGTTTGCAAAAATTTCCGGATTCCAATTGCAAAGCCAGGACTCAAAATCCTCCTTGAAGGTCTTAGAGGAAATCAGTTCTAGGGACAGTGCTCTGGAAAAGGTGTTTTTCTGAAATGATTTAAAAATTAAATGAAAATACGCTTTCTCTGAAAACATATTTCTTTTCAATAAAATGTGGAAGAAGCTTAAAAAAGATCTGGTATTTGCATATACCCTTAAGACGCAACACATTTTCTTAATGATATTCATCTCAGTAAGTTTATTTTCTCATCTATGTGTATCATTACCTTTTTAATTTCAGTCCTAGAGGATTCTAATCATCCATTAGAATCAGCCTATAGAGGCTGATTATATAAGCAGGTTTGTATTTGTCTCGTCAGTGCTATTCTAACATTAGCTCTCACCCCTGAGGTGAACAGAAAACTACAAAGCAATTGCAAGCCATCTGATGTTGGAAGTAGTCAGTGCCCTCATCTTCCAGGGATGTCCGCGCTCTGATCCTACCAGCTCATACACACATGAAGATTCGGTGGTCCAAGTGTTCCAGCTGAACACAAATCATTTTTCTGTTTCAGGAAAGAAAATTAAGCAGCATGGCTTCTTGATACTCTTTAAAAGCAAAATCGGAGCTTCATGCACATGTCTAATTCCCAGACCACCCGAAATGTTGACAAGGCGGGCTCCAGCCAGTGGCCTAACCCTTGGAACGAGATGCCATCTGGGATGTTTTGGGGTACCGGGGACACCTCCCCAGCCCTCACAGCTCGGCCACCCACCGCCGAGGCCTGCGCTGACCGCAGGGGCCCCCCCCGAGACGACTGTCCCTATGGGACGCGTTTCACCGCCGAGATGGCACTGTGTGTGGGGTGGGTGCTGGAGATGGCCGCTCGGGGTGATAGCCTATTTCCATACATTCTGGATGGGTTTTAATATGTTGTACCAGCCGTGGAAACCGGTTTGCTGCTAGGTGACTGTAAAAGTGAGATTTGGTAAATAGTTATTAGAAATCTTATACTGACACTGTGGTTGAAACAATAGACAAAAGTGTAGCCAAACATTTAACTAGTAGAGGCAGTTACTCATAAGTTTTGCAGTTCTTCGCTCTTATGACTCGATGTTCCTGTACGCTAGATGAGAACAACGTTGAAACGGACCACATGTGACTGAAACGGCGTTAAGCTTCAAAATCAAAGAACAGGGAAACGGCGTTAAGCTTCAAGATCAAAGAACGAGGACAAGAATAAAGACTTCAAGGACAGCCAACAAGAACTTCAAATGGGTCCGTGGTCGCAAAAGCAGCCCTTTGCCTCAAATGGATCCTTCGTTGCGCATGATCGGATGTAGGCAGTACTACGATAATCAGTTACA